TGGGGGGGGTGGGCGTTCCTCCTGAGCAGCCCCGTACTCCGCATGCGCGGTGCTGCCCGGTGGACCACGTTTCTCGCTGTGGCTGCGGGAGAGGTGGGAAGAGCCTGCAGGAACTTCCTAAAAGGACATGTCCCCAAATGAGCAAGAGGGGGCCGTGCCCAAAGGTGATTCCAACTCGGCGCCCAGGACCTGCGGACAGAGTGGCAAGAAGGCAAGCCCCACTTCCAGCTTTGTCTCCCACCTGCCCCCTCTGGAATGCCGGCCTTGCCCAATGCTCCTCGCTCGCTGTCGCGGCTGCTCTGCCTACCCACAACCTTTCTCTTCGCGTGGGGACAGCGGTCTCTCACGAGCCACCACTGGTAGAACCAGAAAGCAGCATCGGGAGCTCCTGCCTTTGCCCTTGGCTGGGTGACTCCTCTTGGTGACCTGCTGTCCAGGAGGAGGAGCCAGAGCAGGTGTCCTTGTGGCCCAGGGACGAGCTCGGGCTCGTGCACTTGTCCTTGCGGGGCAGGTGGCTCATCCGCACTGTGGTTCTCCGGAATAAGGCCTCCTCCCTCGGCTCACTCTGTGTCTCGAGATCTAGCACCTTCCTGCCAGCCCTCCGTCAGGGCCCCCTCAGGGGTGCGCCTGTGGAGTGAGACCCCACAGGCTGGATCTGCCCAGGGTGACGGGTGGTGACAGCCCTCCTGTGTTCACGGCAGGGTTGTTTTCATCATGTGCACACGCGTGTGTGCATGAGTATCGTGTGCTCTTCTACAAGCTGTGTCAGGCTGGTGTGGCAGGTTAAGCCGGGCCTATTAAACCCTCAGGAATTTTCACAAGAAAAGCTCTCAGGCCAGGGTTCTCGAATCCCACCTGCTCCAGACTCGGGACCGGGCATATCCATCTAAATTCCAGCTCACCGTTTTCTAGCCAACTAAAATGGATTTTTTTCCACTTGAACTTTGCTTTCTAATAATCCCTTTCTTCAAACTTGTATCATCTGCAACCTCGATGAGCAAGCTCCATTCAAGTTTTCATCAAACATGAGCCAACGCTCATGATGGGAAAATTCACTTGGTAGGCTATAATGATACACAGTGACTGAATGTAAAAACAAATTTAACAAAAATGTCAAACAGCCCAGATCAAAGACTGAGTCCAGCGCTCATGAGACACGGCCCTGTGTGTGCGAGTGGTCAATTGACATTTTAGTAGTTTTAAACCCACTTCATAGTATTAACATCATTATCCACTCTGCATATCACCAACCTCTCTCTAAGGTAATGAGATGTCGGACATCCTGGTGACATCCTGTGTCAACAGGACTGGCTTGGTGCCCTCAGACCACAGTAATTGTCTGAACGTTCATCTGTTTGATAACCCGGGTTAGGCTCTGTCAGCCATGAAACATCGGTATGCCATTCAATTCTTAGAATTTGGGCCGGCCCTGCTATGCAGTGGTTCAGTGCTGTGCTGGGGGGCCGGATAGTATGCACTGGCTGTGGTTTGAGTGCTGGCCCAGGGCTTAACAAACATACTGGCACTTGTGTGTGCATGTCCCAAATCCTGATGGGATGGGTAAATGGAGGAAAGGGACCACAACGTGCCCACGCCCCACTACGGGGTACTTCCCCCTCCCTGTGGAGAGTGTGTGTGTCCTCTGGGACTC